AGAATACTACAAGTTTGGAATGCTACATGTATACGTTCGGCTATCGCATCGCGTCCCAAAGCCTGCAAACTGGTCCACAGCGAAAGCGAATGGAGGCGGCGCGAAATAATTGGATCCGATTCGAAGGCGGCTAATGCAGAGTTTTGCAATTGGCGATGAAGGAGCTACGAGCGGAAGCAGAGAGTTATTTTTCTACCCTTATATATATCTGATTGAGCATAATTTTGCAACTCACCACTATGGGTAGGCTAGGTACGCCTAACCAACTGCCCAAATTCAAAACGATAGAGTCAACAATACCGCTGATCTGTGGGGGGAATGCGTAAGAGATAAGATTATTTAGTTTATTGAACAGTACTAATGAGAGTGTGTTTTTAATTGACCATAAATTGTTTAGTCAGGGTTGACTGACAGTCGTGTGTCAATTAGAAGTTAAAATTACTTAGTTTTTGAAGTGTGGGTTTTCTTAGAGCTTTAGATTGCAATATTATCACAGTTAATGTTTATTATGTTATGTTAAGTTTATTTTCAACTATCTTTAACTTTGCATTGAATATGGAATTCTCTGCTTTGATAGAGCAATACGCTGCCCCTAAAAATTATATCCCAAACTCCACACTCACCGTATTTGGTCCCTGAGCGCACGCCAGCGCCGCCAAACCATGTCCAGTGGCATGTAACCAAATGTTGTGCGTCCGACAAATGTCGTTCATGCGCTGCAAGTTATCCACGTAACCGCATATTGAGGCACCCACATCTGCTACTACCAGCAGCGGTGTACGATTAGCGCTTAAATCCGCCTGCACCTGCTTCAGCAGCAATGACAAATCCATTGTACCGAAAGTGCTATTGGCCGGTATTAGGCGTATCGCATCCAATGGTATGCCAAGCTGACGGCAAGCATATTGCAGACGCAGTGGTGTTGTATTCTCCGAGATGTAGAAGCATGGATGCGCCAAAGCTGGTATACCACCCTCGAGGTAGCCTGGACAACGCGCCACTATCGCTAAACGCACAGTGCGTAATATGGCGTCTGCATTGTCTGTGTGAAAGCTACTACCCGGATCGAGGAAGCGAAAGAGTGCGCCCAGCCAGCGTGTGGTGTCGCCGGCAATGCTGCTCGACACACGTACCAAGTGCTGGCGATCCAAGTGCGTTAGATAGGCGACAATGCTGTGCGAAATTAGCGCCAATTGTGCCACATCATCCAGGCCGGGGAGTGGAAATTCTGGATCATCATCGGAGTCAGAGTATGCGATGAGTGTTTCGAGGGACTTAAGTATATCAGCTGGTGGCTTGCAGTCACCATATAGTAGTGTTGTGTGCTTTGGCGTTGCTGGCGTAAGTAGCGGCGAGTCAGGCCCGTTTTCTATGTTAGGCCGACCACCGTCAACGGCGTCTGCCGCAGCTTCCGGCGGAGTTTCGGGTGTCTCAGCAACTGGCGCAGTTTTGACATTTTCCAGACCACGTAAAACATGCGCTGACTTCAATTCTAGCTCAGCCAAACCGGAGCGTATCTGTGTTGGAAGTGCAAATGGCAGCTAATAAATTTCCTTAATTTTTATTAAATAGAAATGCTAAACTTACGCTGGATGCGGCAATTTCTGCAACGCGTGGCTCCTTCATCTCGTCATCGGCGCCCGACATTCTACTC